TCAGGCACCAAAGGGTCTGGCTTTTTACAACTTTTCTTAAAAAGCTGCGGCGAGCAGCTCCCTCCCGCGAGAGAAGACGTGGAAGGAGAGGATGTCGGGTTACAGAATGTAATCTGCAAAATTCATTTTTCAACCGATGTGCTACCGAGGTATCGGGGGTATCGGGGGTATTGGGGGGGTTGCTGTGGACGTCCTGTTTGTGTCAGGAGCCTCCATGCATCACTCACACAGAATGGCTCCAAATTAAGCAAACGCAACGCCGACTGTTTGCGCCATCGATCAAAGCGTGCACATTGACGGCGTAGCGCGTGCTGCGTAGACACCTCATCGCCAGGCTTGTAATAACCTGAGGGGGGGGGAAGGTGTATTAGTGCAGGAAGCATTACGCTCCGGCACAGGGGTAATTATTCTTTCATGGAAACAGTTGGTTGGTATAAATACAGGTCGTGTTGTGTTGTAATGGAGTGCGCCCCGCGTCTCCGGGGGAATGGAAACAGCAGGGGTTCGTCAGGGAGGACGATGAACCGTCGCTCTTTAGGCGGGCGAGAGCGCCGATTGGTCGGCGCGGGGGGGGGACGGAGAGCGGTGGGTTGGACGTTCACTCCCGAGCTCCGGCTGCAGACAAGGCACTCGTCTGGCTCCGACGGCCTCATGTGGGCCTACATCACTTCCCCCCGGGCTCGCCCAGCCCCGGTTGATCATGTGACGCGCTGCTTCATGGCAACTGCAGTCAGAGCAGGATTTAAAAAAAAATATTTTTAGCCAGTATTCCTGAAAATATAGGCTTTATTTCAGAAAAACAAATATGACAACGCACAGGGCACGACGCGGTAAAAGGGTTGTGGAGGTGACATTGAAAGGAAAAAAAGAGATGATAAAAGTCGAGGAGCTTTTAATGCAGCACACTTCAAAAGTAATGGACCACAAAGTCCAAATGACAGAAGCACTGCTGAGCTGAGCTGAGCAACAACAAAGCCTCACCGGGAGGAAATCACAGGAGGCATATTCATAAAGCAAAGGAACGGACGCAGGATGTCTCATTGTGGGAATCGCGTTGAACGGAGCTCCTCTCCTTTCATGCATCATGAGCGGACGCAACGCGCCGATGAGACTCTGTGGAGTCGATGGATGCCGGAGACGTTTGGGAACAGAACCTGTGGACCTTCTGCATCATGCTGTCCTCCTCCAAACGACCACACGGCCACTTCAGGGACACAAGTCACAACGACGATGCAGCACAAGGCAATTTTCTTTATTTTCTTTATTTTTTTTTATTATCAGGAAATGACAATCCCATTGTTCTTTGTACCAGTGTGTCTGAATGAACAAATGGTATTGGTTTTCCTGCTGAGCTCATTGTTTAAAAGCACTTATCTGTAGCCTCGCTGCCAGTTATCACAGTCGCTGCTTGAAATAAATAATTCAGAAAAGAAAGCTTTTCCCTCCTGAATAAAAGAAACAAGCAGCATTGATAGATTGCAGGTGCAGATGGACAAGATTGTCTGTCAGCATGATATTTGATAGAGTTTTAAATTCAGCGGATCCCCAATAGAATTTAAACCCCACACACACACGAACACAATACATACAGAATAGAACGACGGCGTATAGACGGGACACGGCGGAGAAAAACAGGCAAGAAAACTCTTACAAACTCAGCGTCACCTCTTCAACTGCATTTTTCCTTCTTGGTGAATCATCTTTCGAAGTTAGCTTCTCAATGGGTCATATGTTTTCTTGGGAGATTATTCACGGGAGCAGCAGAGCTGAATCACGCGGGCCTTTTAGTCGGCGACGGATGCTGCTGCGCCACGAGAGCTAAGCCGCGCTATGACAGGTAATCACTACGCCCGCATTTCCATTTGGGTCACTGATCACGCCGTGAAAGCCCACAGCCCTGATTTGTGTGCGCAATAAAGCTCGGGGCGTAAAATGAAAGAAAAAGTGGGGTGGGAAGGAGGGGGGTCTAAGTGTTGGAGGAGGTGTGATAATAAAGGAATGGAGGCAATGATATATATATAGATAAATATATTTATATGTATGGAGGTGGAAGGAAGGGAGGGGCTCTGAAAACCACCCTCATATAGAGATGTACAGATTGGCAAGAGTGTCGCCCAATCAATAAGATCCTGTCAGGCAGATGGCAAATGGGAGACTGGCAAAGACACTGAGACAAATTGAGACAATCAGAGGGACCGTCGTTGGCGTGTGCGTGCGTGCATGTGTGATGATGT